GCCATAATCTGTGAGGACCATCTCGTTCCTTTCTGCCTCACAGCTACATTCTTGTATTATTCAGCTGCAGGGGTGTTCTCTCTGAAGCCTCATTTCCTTTATAAAATATCAGTTTTTGGGCTATTTTTATTGTGCATGTCAAGGAAAAACATTAGAGGGACTTTACGGACTTTTGAATTTTATGCTCACGATTGCCCCCTCAGGCCAAAATCGTAACGGCAGCTTCAATAGTAGGCTCGTGCACGAGGTGCGCATGCTGTACGTATACACCCCTTAACGAAAATAACAGCTGAGACAGTCCCTTGTGTGTGATTGTGGCCCGGAGGACAGACGGCAGGAGAACGTGCAGCTAATTAATTAAATAATTTGGTTCTGTACCTTTCTCTTCAGCACAGCTGACAAAGGTTTATGATGGGTCAGTCCTCCTGCATGCTCAGATCATTCCCTTCCCTTGCTTGAAAAATTGTTCCAAAATGAAAGTTGAACCCACATCTTTTTTATCTGTGAATTCAATGCCATTCGGCGAGTCTCAAATAAAAATTTGGGCATCTTACTGTAAAAAAATATACCATTAATGTAAAAAATAAACTCTAAATGAACTATATTCATATCCAGAATCAAACCCAGGTCTTCTGCATGGGAGTCAGGCATCTTACAAGGTGAGCTACACACCAATAGCATCTGTAACTTTTATATCCTTGATAACACCTGAAACAACATCGAACCAAAGAACGGTTCAGAGCGAAAATGGCTATTTTGTTGCTAATTTGCAGGAAATATCTAGAAGAAAGTAGCTAAGGGTCCTCAGAAATGTAGCTAGGTTCATCACTAGGCGTTATGAACAGCGACAAAGTTGCTGAGTTGGCACTACCTCACTCTCTGCTGCTAAAGCTACTGATAGCAAATGCTACGGGCTATGCCTGAGCGTGAACGCGCATGACGCAGCCTGCTCGACCCGAGCAGCTCTCTTTTTCTGTGATTTTACAGAAAAACAGGCAATCGCAGTAAAAATGCCAGGGCTCATTCTACAGGACCAGGGCATTGCAGGAGAATGTATGAAGAAGAAATTTATTATTTCTATACATGTTTTGGCTGTCAAACTTCCATAATGCCCCTTTAAGAATTACTTTGTTTAATTTTGAATTGAGTTTAAATGCACTTGCTATAATATGCAGTGGTTTTGTTGTTTTTGGAGTGTGTGTGTGTGTGTGTGTGTGTGTGTGTGTGTGTGTGTGTGTGTGTGTGTGTGTGTGTGTGTGTGTGTGTGCTTGTTTGTTCAGTGCTATTAGATATACCAGGGTTACACTTTATTGGACAGCCCCCACCTAAGTCTCCTTAAACCCAACAACTTTCACTGCATTGCATCACAGACACACAAATCAAGAAGGCATTAGAGGTGCATCATAAAAAAGTTAATTGCCACCCTGTGTCTGAAGTATGCGATCTGTTGTTGTACTCCCACACACTCTGTCTGGATTCCTACCTCTGGGAGCAGACAGCTAGGCTTGTAACATCAACAGCCCACAGACCCTCCTGCCTCTGGGCAGACATCCCTTTGGGGGGTCATTCATGGCCCTTCAGTCGCCTCTGACAGAGGAGGTTTTGTCTGAGAAAAACCACAAACATCTGCACTTGGAGGAAATCACTAAACTAATCTCACTGATGCTGTTTGGAAATTTTTCCAAATTTACAAACAAAACATTTACTGTCTTGTTGAATTCCACATTTGAAGCCATTCACCTGTGGTCATAATTCACGTTTATAACTCAGAACGCGCAAACTCAGCACTTTAAGAACAGAGCTGGCTCTGTTTTACAACTTCCACGGCCACTCAGCTCCAGCTATGTGATTAAATTCAATTCAGAACGCGTTGAAGCCATTTTTGTCTCCCGGTCTTTTTCCACACAACTCCATGTTCCATGCCTATGCTAATTGCAGACTTCAGACCCACAAGAGGATGTTTCAGCTCACTGGGGAAAAGCACAGACAAGAAAAATAACTGATTCAGCTCTAGCATGAGTCATTTTTAAAGGTCTGTATTAATTTACCTTTCCACTGGTCCATCACAAGTTTTATTGCCACTTCTGGTTTCCATTGGTAATGAAGGGGAACATCGTTTTACTAAATCTGATCTGGACATCCTTGGGAGATACGGTTTTAACTTTTAACAGGACATTACTGCTATTTTAAGTCTAGCTAAATGCTTGTTTTATAATTTTTAAACCTCCATTGATTAATCAGGTTGTTGCTTTTTTAGTTTACACTTCTTCAGGAATCAGACCTTAACAGATAACACTCTTGAGGTCCGCATGGCAGGGGTGAGGAGTGAGCACCACCTCACCCCTGCCACGTGGACCTCAAGGGATAAACCATCAGTCCTGCTCAATGGTCAACTTTCTTTGCGGGGTCACCCATGAAGACAGTGGGAGGGTTAAGGGAATTCTCCTGCCTGTGTTGGGATTGACCGCTCATCCGTGCTGTTTTCACAAGAGGAGTCAAGTCAGGTTGCATCGGAGGGATTAAAGAAAAGCGCTCATATAGTTTTTAAGAGTCTGCCGCTCTGTTTTTTAAGGTCATTTATACATGTAGCCAGGAATCCCAAAAAAAAACAAGATTTTTACTGTTTGCCCTGTCGTCCACATGAAATTGAAGATAAATGTCACCAAAAATCACTCTTTCAAAAACTCCGACCAAAGTGTATATTTACGAACTCTTCGTTGTAGACTTAAAGGCCAAGTTCACTGAGAACCTGTTTTTTTCTATGATTGATCACTTTGAGTCTAACATGCAGGCTAAACCTGATGAGAGACGTGGGGGGGGGGGGCATTGTGGTGGTGGGCTTAGAAGGGATGTGAATCTGTGTGTCATCGGTATAAAATGAAAATTTGTGCCATTGTGTCGAGGAGTTTGTCCAGAGGGAGAAGATGGATTAAAAGAAAAAGACAAACAGACCCAAAATGGAACCTTGGAGAACACCAAGTGAAATCCCTAAAAACCCAGACATGTTAAAACAATTCAATTATATTCAGTTTATATAGCGCCAAATCATAACAAGAGTCATCTCAAGGACTATCACAAAGTAAACATTCCAATACAGGTCAGTTAATTTAGCCAATCAGTAAAAGGTTTCCTGTATAAGGAACCCAGCAGGTTGCATCGAGTCACTGACTAGTGTCAGAGTCTTTACAGCAATCCTCATACTAAGCAAGCATGCAGCGACAGTGGAGAGGAAAACTCCCTTTTAACAGGAAGAAACCTCCAGAGGATCCTGGCTCAGTATAAGCAGCCATCCTCCACGACTCACTGGGGATCGAGAAGACGGAGCAGACACACACACACACACACACACACACACACACACACACACACACACACACACACACACACACACACACACACACACACACACACACACACACACACACACACACACCACGTAATGTTTCTATGGTTACATTGTGATTTCTTAGTGAATATAAGAGATAAACTTTATTGTCGTTATCCTAGTGAATCTATAATTTAACGGGTAAACTAGTAGTAGCACATTCCATGTCAAAGAAAGTAAAATGTTATTATCAGGAGCGGGAGAATGTTAATTGGTCCGCAGCAGTGTGCTAGCTGATGACCCCCTCCATGAAGCTACCACAGCTCAGCTGAACACCATTGTAGCTGCTTCTGGGGAGAACAAAATTTAGAGAAAAATTAAAGTTAACAGCTGAAATAGCAGGAAATATTGCAAAGTCCTACCCGTATCTCTGGCGTTAGCCGCTGAAATAATATAGACAGGGAAGGCTGTTGTTGATTTAGCTTCAGGCTTGTTTTATTTGTGGAGATAAATCATCAACGTTACAGAGCAAATGGAGTCGGTGGAAGAGTTCCGTTGAAGTAAGCCAATCAGGAGTGAGATATCGGAAATAAGACTCCAAACGCTCGGTATGCTGCTCCTCTCTCCTCCAACTCACTTCTATTTTCTGAACAGGAGCGCCAACGCGTTTTTTCCCCCACAGAGATCGACTCGCAAGGGATTAATTTATACTAGAGACCACAGCAGATATGTTAAAAAACTAGTTATCTTTAACTAACCAGGTCACAGCTGTTAACATCAATGCTCTGACATCACATGTGACCTGTGTTTACTCTGGCTAACTTGTTTTTGCTAGCTCGGTTACTGTTCTAGAAGACCAAGGGCAAAGGTCAACGCTAAAGACGATTAAAGCTCTCCACCTACGTATTTCAAGGAATGTTTTTCTGCAAAGACACTGAAGATTTGGAGAACTACTGCTGTGTGCATGCATGTCTATTAATGTGCTGTACATGAACGTGTGTACATAGCCTCAGATCTTCTGTAAAGTCAAACTTTTTGTTTAACATGATTTATAAGCACATTTTGACAAGTTATGATTTAGGCGACAGTTTAAGACCATAACTCATTCTTCTGCTGTGATTTATTAAGGCAAGGAAAATGTGTTTTCATAGCTGTCCAAACTCACTTCATTGTTGTGACGGATGGGAGTTTTCCCACAAAGTTATCGTGGTTTGCTAAATGGCATTTCCTTTTTGGAAGTCTTGTAGAAGTTTACATGGTGAAATGTGTCTGAGTGGGTATTCATTTTAATGAAAAGCATTAAATATTTTGATAAAACATCATGTGCTGTTGGAGCCAACATCTCACCACTGTTACGTTTCCCTTTAACTGTGAATTGTGCTCCGTAAGAAGCAAATCGGGGGTTAATGAATCATAAAGTGAAGGGAAAATTCTGAAAACACTCCTGAGGTTTTGATGGCTTTGCTGCTTTCTGCTCTGATATATTATCTGTACAAAGCAGCTGCTGCCAAGTTGGAATTAGCTGCAGGTTCGTCTGCAGAGACAGCCTAATGTATACATGTGGACATCATCAGTCTCACCTTCTGCATTTTCTTTACTTCAAACACAGACTTCAGCATCTTGTTTTGGTTTGATTTGCAACCTTTTGATAAGTAAGAATCTATTTTCATTCCAGCTGGGATGAGAGCAGCTCCATTAGCAGTGGGCTCAGCGACGGAGACGGTGATGGTTCAGAAAACCTCAGCTCAGAGGAATTCAACGCCAGCTCATCACTCAACTCCCTCCCAAGCACACCGCTGGGCTCGAGACGGAGCTCTTCTGTTATGGTGAGTTGAAATAGGCCAAAAAATCAGGCTTGTCCTCAGAATTTGTTTGTTTATTTGCATCATTGAAACTTCTGAATGTTTCTTGTGTGGGTGATTATCTCTTGCAGTCAAAGACATGCATTTTCATCTTCAATTGATGCATCTTTTCTGTAATATTAAAAATGTACAGTTGTATCAGCGTTAATTAGCTGGACTGGGCCCTAAAGCGTAGCCACAGATGTCAAGGTTTTGTAATATTGAGTGCCTCAATGAGAGTTTGAATGTTCAAGTTCAGTCTTTAAACAATCTACATGTAAAACTTGTATGAAAAAGGCTAAAGGATGTTTAAGTGAAGCATTGAGTCTCATGTTTAGTCAAACCACTTTATTCAACCCTCTCACTGGCGAGGTCACCCATGAAGACAGTGGGAGGGTTAAAAAAAATCAAACTTTTTTCTCTCTCACAGAGGTTAGAGGATAAAGAGCTATTGTCATTTACCAATATGTTTTTTTCCATTGCTGATACGGACATGTAGAGGCTACAGTCAGCTGATCGCCGATATGTGCTGCAGATTTTGTGGATCAGTTTTTTATGACCAGTTTCTAGATGTTTTCCACCTCATTTGCATGCTAAAATGTCACTAATAGTATCAGTTGATGCAAAAAATTTCTGAAGGTGAATCAGTTTCTGACACTGAATTTAACTGTTGAATCTTAATTTTGTGCTCAGTGTTAAAATCAGTGTTAAAACTAAAGGTAATCAAACAAATTCAATAACTGACCAAGTCCTAAATATTCAAAAGTGGTAAATGAAAAGAAATCTGAGTTAAAATACATTTTTTGGAGTATTCATTATGCCGATGTTCTCTCCCTCTCCTGATAATAGCATGTAAATACATTTACATTAAAATAAAATTCTGCAGCAGCACCAGGGTTTCCCGGGATGTGCCCTGACTTTAAAGAGCAAGCCACCCCCTACCAGATTCTTACTCAACTCCCAGTTCCTGTTTGAAAAATCCAACAAATGCTGTTGCCTAGCAGACCAAGAGGGCAGGGCCACTAACAAATACACACACACAGGCTCACAACGACATTGTGACATCATTTGGTACCAGCTAACATTCTAGGGTACCTCTTAGCCAATAGCGATGGCAGATTTAAATTCAAATGCAGTGCAGAGTTTTTACCTGACAACGGCACAACACTGACAGTTTTAGGCAGAAAATTAACATTTTAACAAAAATGCACAAAAGTGCAAAGCTATTGACTACACGTGTCTGCAGCACGATTAGACACGTATTGATATAGTTTATCAGAAAAAAAAGTTGATTTGGGGGTGACTTGCTCTTTAAATCAGTTTTACTAAGGAAGTAAATCAGCCGATAAGGTAAATATAAGGTAAATATTGGTCTACCCTCGTATGCATGTTTTATTTCAGACTAAAACTAAAAATCTAAATAACTAAAATATATTGTTTGATTGGACTAACAAAACATTTCACACCACATTGATCCCAAATTGAATAAAAACATTGTGAAATAAGGATAAGAAGTTCAATAACCACTAAACTCTCACTATTTGGTAAACCTGTGAAGTTGTGTTAATGCGTCACTTCATGCTGCAGCGTTTGGTGTTGACCAGATCTTTCCTGCCAGGATAGTAATGGCCAGTGTGTGTGTGTGTGTGTGTGTGTGTGTGTGTGTGTGTGTGTGTGTTTGGTACTCACTGATACAGAACAGGCTCACTTTTGTGACGAGTAATTTTAATTCATACACTTGAATAAAGCTCACATATTTTTGGTTTAATGTTTAAGTTTGATCCGTGTGCAGATCTGAGTTTAGTTTCTACGTTTTTCTTTACATAATAGAACTTATTTGTCTTCTCTTACCTTCCCAAAATGCTCTCTTGGAAGAAACAAGCTTTAGTGCAACTCAATGAGCCATCTGTCGCTTTATTGCACTTTATTAAGTAGCCAAGAAACAGCATGCTCAGTTTTGTCCTTAGTGCCACCTCCACATGCACCACATGAAGTCTATTAATGTGTAAGTCCTCATCAACCCACCGTGCATTCTTATAATGCATCATATGATGTAGTTGTAGCTTTTTTTTATACACATAAGCCTCCTTCTTCATTTTTATCTTTTTCTATGGTTTCTTCATCTTCACTGTCGCTTGTCATTTTTATCTCTCCATCCTTCCTACTGGAATGCAGCTCTGATGGAACAAAGATTACAGTCAGATCTTATCTAATGGTTACCCACTTTGTGTCCCCCTCTACTTTCTCTGCAGCTCCGCACTGATGCAGAGAAGCGCTCCCTGGTGGAAAGTGGCCTCTCTTGGTACAGCGAGGATGGCAAAGCCAGCCACAAGCTTGATGGTTGCAACTACAACTCAGGGAGTCTCAAAACCGAAGCGCCCAGCAAGTGGAGGAAAAAACCACCGAGTCTTGGTGAAGATTTCGGGATGAAAGTGGAACTAAAGAAGCCTCAAAGTCTGGGTCAGCCGGGAAGTTTCAAAAAGAGCAGAAATCCTCCTGTGGGTGTCACCTCTCCCATCACTCATACCTCACAGAGTATGCTTAAAGTTGCAGGTGAGCCCCGATGGCAAAAGATCTATAGGTCACTAATGAGAGCAATAAATGATTTACTTCCTGAATGTCGATATAAACAAGATTCTGCAGCAGGTGACTTGATGTAAATATGCTTAAATTAATAAGATGCAATAAGACTTTATTGATCCCACAGTGGGGACATTTGTGCGTTACCACAGCTCAGGCAGATAGCGACCAAGATTGCAAAAATAAAATACGACAAGACGCTACAACAGTACCTATGTAAGCACATACACAGTTAGCATTACGGATAGGGGGTTGTAATTTACATTTTTACCGTAATTTAGATTTGTTGTGAGACGTTTATTCTCTTTATCATTTCTATAATCTTCAAAATCTTTTAAAAAAAAACTTTCCATTTTCATTGTTGGTGCAAAGCTTCCCCCGGCAATGAGGATTTAGAAAACAGTAAAATGCAGGAAGGAGACTGTAACAGAAATATACCGCCAAAGGCATCTATTAGCTGATGTTTTACTACAACTTCGTACATTTTCATGCAATTGTGTACTTTCTACTCCTTACATTTTAAAAATTGCTTCATTACTTGTTTTTTTCATTGTCATTATTCAGACAAAAAGGCCTATCCAGATAAATTGCACCATTGCGCCACTTAAGCTTTTGTTATTCTTTGAAGAAGAAGAAGAAGAAGAAGAAGAAAATATCATTTCTATAGCGCCTCTCAAGACAAAAGTCACGAGGCGCTTCACAAAAACAAAAAATGTAACAATATAAAAAAGCATTTAGAAAATGTTTAAAAATATATTTAAAATGAGCAAAAACAGACAATTGCGATAAAAAAATGTTAAGAAAGAGAGAGAGAGTGAATAGGAAAGAGGGAAATCAGTGGATCCTGAGGAAGGTGGAATAGGTGGGGAGAGCAGAATAAAGAGAGAGAGGTGAAGAAGGTCATACAAAAGCCAGCTTGAACAAGTGAGTCTTCAGCTGCTTTTTGAAGAAGACCACTGAGTCCACTGATCTCAGGCTCAGGGGGAGAGAGTTCCAGAGTCTGGGGGCCACAGCAGCAGATGATCTGTCAACTTTGGTCTTTAGCCTGGTGCTGCACAACCAGTAGGCTTTGATCACTGGACCTCAGGGGCCTGCTGGGGGTGTAGGGACTAAGAAGATCACCAATGTAAGATGGTGCTTGTCCATGTAAGGCCCTATAGACCAGAACCAGGATCTTGAAATGAACCCTGAAGTTGACTGGCAACCAGTGAAGCTGGAGGAGAAGCGGGGTGATGTAGGTGTGTTTGGAGGACTTGGTCAGAAGCCGAGCACAGGCATTCTGAACCATCTGTAGACGGTTCAGGGAGGTTCTGCTCAGACACGTGAAAAGAGAGTTACAGTAGTCTAAGCGTGAGGAGATGAAGGTGTGGATAACTGTCTCAAGTTCAGAGCGAGACAGAATGGGACTCAGCTTAGCAATGTTCCTGAGATGGAAGAAGGAAGAGCGAACAAGAGAACTGACATGAGAATCCAGGGTGAGAGCTGGGTCAAAGGTCACACCAAGATTCCTGACAGAACGTTTGGTGTGAGAAGCAAGCTGACCAAGAGAGTCTCTGACTTTGGGAACCAGCTTGTCTGGGGCACAGATGAGGATCTCAGTCTTATCTTCATTCAGCTGAAGAAAGCTGAATTTGCAATATTTTGTAGCTACATTACTTTTACTTTTTTAAATTACTTAAGTCAGTGGCCCCCAAGACTGGCCTCTTCCCGGCCCCTGGAGCCCCCCGCTGCCTCCGGACCTTTCACTCTGTCACAATGTAAACAGGAGGACCACTACCAAGCTGTCAGTGTCAGCTCCAATTTCAGTTATTTGATCTAATCTATAACTCTAATTATTCTAATTGCTTCAGAATTGTTTTGGCATTTAAACAATTTTATTGTTGCTTTTCTTTCTCCAAAGCTTCAAAAATTGAGAAGCCTCTGGACAAATCCAAAATCTCCATACGATCTGCTGGCCTCCAACGGTCGCGTTCAGATGCTGGCAGGGATAATCACGGAGAGCACCGTAAGCCCCCCTCGGGTTTGGTCAGACCATCTGCTGGAAGCTCCTTTGGATACAAGAAACCAACAACCACCGGTACTGCAACCGTTTTAACAGCAGGTGGCATCACCATCTCCAGTGGTTCTGCTACAGTGGGAAAAGCCCCCAAGTCAACTGGCATTCCTGTGAAACCTGTGGGGGGAGGAACATCTTTGGGTAGAAAGAACAGTTTTGATGCCAGTAGTGAGCAGGGCTTCCTGGGGCCAAATGCCCGAAACAGCATTCAGTACCGCAGCCTGCCTCGACCCGCCAAGTCCAGCACGTTGAGTGTAATTGGTCGCCCAGCAGCCCGGCCTGTCAGTGGTACCATTGACCCCAGTCTGCTGAGCTTGAAGCCCGTACCTATAGCCTCTGCAGGGCCCAGGTTGAAAGAGCCTGGTAGCTGTAGCGGGAAAATGACCAGTCGAACCAGTCCAGTGAACCAGACGGACAGAGAGAAGGAAAAGGAAAGAGCCATGGCCAAAGCTGTGGGTGCTGACATGGACTGTGCCTCTCTGAAGGGAGAGGAAAGTCAGACTGAGTCCACCGGAGAGTCTACAGTGAAACTACTTGGCCTGAGACGGACCAGCAGCAGCAAATACCCTGAACTCTCCTCCCCCACAACACCCAGGTCTCTAACATACTTCTGTCAGACTTTGCTTTTTTCTGGTTTTTCTGACATTTAATGACTTCTCCTTAATTCCTAGGATGCTCAACACTAAATCTTTGGGTCGCCCACCCAGCATGGCTCATCTGGACAAGGTCAATTCCAACAGCCTCGACTCCTGTGTGACCATCCAAGACCTTCCACCCAAAGTACCCCCATATGCCAAGCTTCAAGACTTGGCTGGTTCCCTCACAGCCGCTCGTCTCACCCCAAGCCCGGCGCCTGTCCTTCACATTGACTCTCCCTCATACACCAGTGAAGGCTTGAGCTTGAGCGGGTCTCCCATGCCCTACCCTAAACTGTCTGGCATGCATCGCAGTATGGAGTCCTTACCACTCCAAATGAGCGTGCCCTCCAGTGCTCGGTTTGTCCCAGCAGACACATGTGGGAAGGAAGAAAGAGGTTTAGGAACCTGGGGAGGTGGCAGTAGAACATCTCTCAACATGTCAGACGGGCAAGTATTGTGCATGCGTCACTCTCCGGAAAAAAGTTAGTGTTTGAGGTAAAACATGATTTAAATCAGTTATTTTGGTCTATCAAACATGTTTTTACAGCTAATTAAATAAATGTCCCTCCAAAAATATAATTTACTGCTACTGATGTTTGAAAGTACAATAAAGTCAGGGGCGCCTCCAGAAAATCTTGATAGGGGTGGCCAGATGGGGCCAAAGAAATTTTTGGGGTGGCACACCAAATTGGTCCTTGTGGTAACTCTGGTTGAATTTAGTCTGTGGCAATGTGCTGCATTGCACCTTTATTAGTTTTTTATTAACATAACAGTATGTATCCAAAACATTTAACGTACATTTCACAAACACAAACATTTTAGAAAAATAAATTTCAGTTATGTTATCACAAATTTAATTTAAAAATGTATTTTTAAGGTTAATTCACCTGTTGCTGTTTACACACACACACACACACACACACACACACACACACACACACACACACACACACACACACGCACGCACGCACGCACGCACACACACACACAAAGAATAACTATGGAGATAAACACTTCTTTAAAATGGTGAGCTGCAGAAACATATGTATTTTTTAAAATTCTGATTATGTCTTTTCTCATTAATTGTAATATATATATATTTTTTTACAATTATGTCTTGAATAAACAAGATCAATATATGGTTTGACTGAACATTAATATGATTTGTTAACACTGGCTTTTCCCTGGGGGGGGGGGGGGGGGGGGGGGGGGCAGCAATTTTCTGGGGGTGGCCATGGCCACCCCTTGGGGGCGCCCTTGAATAAAGTAAGAATTCTACAGGGAAATTATCACAAAACAGTCTAATGTCTCAATTGTGTTAGAAGGAGGGTTATACTGACGCAGGTTTCATTCTAGGCCGACTGAGGGGATGTCAGTGTTTCTCCTTTTAAAAAGGTCAAAGATGGACATATGTATTGTTTACAATTAGTGAGCCGTGAGGCTGTCGAGTATGCACCAGCTAGCGCTGCAGCACTGGCTATGGTCATTCAGCTGACCGGCCAGCAAAACACAGCAGCGTTTTTTTTTTAAACCAAAGCAGGTAACAGAGCGACCCAGAAGTTATTCCGTGTATCCCGAAGAAGCCATGTCATCTTTGTTTTACTCTAATATCGGGTGAAGCTTCCTCCTTGAACCATCACCTTATCGTGGTGGAGGAGTTTGAGTGCCCTAATGATCCGAGGAGCTATGTTGTCTGGGGCACTTTGTGCCCCTGGTAGGGTCGCTCAAATTGTCAAATTGGTCTTAGGTGAAG